ACGGCGGCTAACAACAACACCTTGAAACCAAACAGTACCGTTTTGCTCAACACAAACATCAACGCCACGGCGCTAGACACCTTCACCGGGACTCTGACCCAATTCTCCAGTGACTCCCAGTTGAACTGGATGGAGAAGCTGTGGGCGGCTTATTACCTGTATATGAACAACGACATCATGGCGACTGGGTTGCTGTTCTTCACTCTCCACGAGGCGATGTACTTTGGCCGTTGTTTGCCATGGTACATTGTTGATTGTATCCCATATTTCAGAAAGTGGAAGATCCAACCTACAAAGATCCCAACAAACCAGGAACAGTGGGAGTGTTTGAAGTCCGTGTTGATCTCCCATTTCCTCGTTGAGGCGTTCCCAATCTGGTTTTTCCACCCAATCTGCAACATGATTGGAATTGCTTACTCCGTCCCATTCCCAACATGGCAATCAATTGGTTTGCAAATTGCCATCTTCTTTGTACTAGAGGATGCATGGCACTATGCGTTCCACAGATTGTTCCACTACGGACCTTTCTACAAGTACATCCACAAGCAGCACCACCGTTACGCCGCACCATTTGGACTTACTGCGGAATACGCGCACCCAGTTGAAGTCATGGCGCTTGGATTTGGTACTGTTGGTATTCCAATCGTCTGGGTAAGCGTTACAAAGGACCTCCACCTCTTCACAGTCTGCGTATGGATCACCCTCAGATTGTTCCAAGCCGTGGATGCCCATTCCGGTTACGAATTCCCTTGGTCATTGCACCATTTCTTGCCATTCTGGGCAGGTGCCGACCACCACGACTTGCACCACCATTACTTCATTGGTAACTATGCCTCGTCATTCAGATGGTGGGACTTCTCCTTGGACACAGAGGCTGGTCCAGATGCGAAGGCCGAGAGAGAAGAGAGAATGAGATTGAAAGCCGAGAAGAAGCAGAAAAAGCAAATATAAACCATCCGTCATTACATAATAATAATAAACACATATAGTCGTACAACTACCTCAGCAGAAGAACCTGTATAGTCTGTAGTACAACGGCTTTGAACGAAGTCTCGCCTTGTCCTCAGCCCTTTGCTGGATCAACAGATCAACGTCTTGATAACGCTTACCAGTGTCCAGGTCAACCTTGTCCAAGGGAGTGTACAGTCCCGAGAAGAACTTACCAGCCCATAATCTGTACGATAAGAATACCACAATCATCAATGGAATTGATAAACAGTTCTGGAAAAACGTCTCCACATCGGCTGGAGATCCAATTGGGAAGATGGAGATCCAAATCTCTCCAATGATAATCAACGCCATCACGATGACACCTAATACTGAACCGTAGATACCCAATGTGGCCTTATAGCCCAACTCTTCGGTGGAACGTCCTTGCTTCTTCAGTGCTAGCCTGAAACGGATGTGTGCCAGGCATATGGAGCTCCAAGTAAAGAACGAGGAGATAGAGCACAATGAGAACAGCCAGGTGAACACCGTTGATTGATTGGAGGAGTCAACCAAGAAGCCCAAGAGCCCAATTGTTGCAGAGACGAGGATACCAACCAAAGGACGTCCTTCGTTGTCGATGTAGGCAAAGATGTCTGGTAATTGACCTGATGCTCCCAACGCCTGAATAACACGACTGGATGCAAAGACACACGAGTTTGAGACAGAGAGAACGGCAACGAGGATAACAGCGTTCATGAAATGTGAGATTCGACTGCCCATTGCGCCCGTGTTTGACAGAGCAATGACAAATGGTGATGCCGTGATATCTTCAGAGGTATCACCACCTAGCAACCGTGGGTCGTTATATGGAACAAGACATGAAATAACAACAATTGTTGTGATGTAGAACAGGGAAATTCTCCAAAACACTTGCTTTGTAGCCCTAGAGATGGACTTTGCCTCTGCTTCAGCACTCAGAATGGCCAGCTCAGAGCCTCCAAAGGAGAAACCTGCCGAGATCAACGTTGAACATATTGATTTTAACACAGGATGCACAAATGAGCCTGGATCATGCCAGTAACGTGCACCGATGTAGCCTTGAGAATTTGGACCACCACCGCAGATTAGAACAATACCAATGATTATGAAGATGATGATGGCTATGACTTTGATGATTGATAGCCAGAATTCCGATTCTCCGTAAGCACGCACACCGAATAGGTTAAGTGAAACTATGAATACCCACGAGATTGCAATCCACACAGCAGGGTCTACTGAGGTGTTCCAGTACGATATCGTCATACTTACACCAATTAGCTCTGAAGGGAAGGATATCAGCCACGCCAAGGCATAGTTTGAAGCGATGGTGAAGCCCAATGCTGGGTCGACAAATCTTGTAACGTGGGTCGCAAATGAACCATTGACGGGATAAGCAATTAGCATCTCTGCACCTGCCTGAATCACACAGTAAATGCCCAATCCAACCAGTGAGAACCCAATCAAACAAGAACCCGGACCTTGTGCCAGGGAGTAGCCCAATCCTATGAACAACCCTGTTCCCAGTGTACCACCTATGGCAATCATCTGTAGATGTCTTGTTTTCAGAGCAATCTTCAGAGGCTGATGAGCCAGTATGACATTCCGTCTGGTCTGTTCATCCAACGAGTCCAGATCAACATCTGCGGGCAGTACCACTTGTCTTCTTTTGAAGGAATGCTTCACTCTGTTGAAAACTCCTCTTGAGCCATCATCACTGGAGTCTATGGATATCTGCGACTGAGTGATGCCCTCATTTGACGTTGATTTCACTGTCACACCAGCTGGCAGCTTCTCAAGATCAGACATCATCTAGGAGTGTCGTTTTGAATATTTTGTATATATACAAGGTAGATAACATAGAGGAAATTTTTTTCTTTCCACTCTGGAAATTGGTCAGCGTAGGTTTATATACTGATATAACTAGACGATGGTGGCAGCATACCAGGCAGCATTGCGTATCTCAGAGCAGCGACACACCAAACGTGAAATGCCGTCCATGGTGAAATTAAGTTGCATACTGCAAATATGTCCGGGAAAAAAGAAATGAAATGGGAAGGAAAAGAAATAAATGAAGGGGAAAACGGAGTCAAAGGCTGGCACTACAGAGCAGACGAGATGAGGATCCTTGTGTTCCTCACAATCGGCTCATTGAGCTCACAGTTCGCACGACACGATGGAGCGCAAGGGGAAGGTCAGATGGACCAGCAGCCGGCAGCACAGCGGAGGGAAGGAAAGAACCCATGCTCACGGTTCACACACACATCCTGTTCCTCTGGCTCATTCATCAGACAACGCTGGCAACACAGGCAACGCAAGCACAATGGATACAAGGGAAGGCACTGAAGGGCCTCGTTTATTGCGTTGTTATTACTCAATTGGCTAGAGCATTAGCCAAAACTGTGGTTGTGGTTCCTCCCGCCTGTAGAGGCTTAAAAAATTGCATCAACAGCTGCAAGTATGCCGGAGAAATAAATAAACACTTCAACGGCGAATGGCGTACGCTTCCCTTTCTATGGCAACGCGTAGGAGCTTCACGGGATCCAGCTGAGTGGCTGGGAACCCAAAGCGTTCAATCATAGAGGGAAATGGAGCTTCACTACTCGCTTTTGAAGTAAGTAAACGATGGGCAAAGGTCCTCGCACGCTTGCAGAAGAAGCCTGTCGGAATTCACAGCGGAAAAACTGCCAAAAGGCTGGGAATTGCAAAAAGAAATAAAAAGAGGAGGAAAAAAAAAACACAGCCGTTTTGACGTTTTCTCTTACGTAAGCTGAAAAGTGTGGCTTCGGTGTGCTTATCAAAGCATACACAGACAAAACACCTGGTGCTTCCGCTTTGGGAAGTCGAGGCCCAAAGAAGTATATTTCCTGTTTCGGGTGTTTATCCATATTTTTCTTTTCTTTTCAGAACCGTTTATATACATCTGGATCCTCCCTAACGGATGGTGCCGTTATTACTTCCTCTTATCCCTCAATAAAGCTTTCAATCACATTGAACAAAGGAGATGCCCTCACTGCGAAGCACAAGAAGCTCGGACTCCTCGCGGAGTAATCACAAGCTCGAGGAAGTAGGCGACGGTGAGGAGGAATTTGAGCAAGCTGATGAGCCGCAAGAGGAAGAGGAGTACGATGAGGAGGAAGAGGCAGAGACGCGTTGTATCTGCGGTGAATTGGACCCGCCAGACGCCGATGGGCTGTATATCCAGTGTGAGAAGTGCTCTGTATGGCAGCATGGGTACTGTGTATCGATCAGCGACACTGTGCCAGAGAAGTACTGGTGTGAGCAGTGCAAGCCGGAGCTGCACTTGATAGTTGTGACACCACAGGGCAAGATGTCAAAGTATTTACCGGTGCAACCGAAGGATTCGAAGGAGTCTGTTGGAAGCAGACGGAAGAGCAGACGTGCTCAGGACGATGAGAAGGATGAGCTACAGCAGAAGAAGAAACGCGAGCGTGGTGGGTTATCAAGAGAGGATGCTCGTTATGAGGCGATGATTCAACGGGCATTGGAGGAGAGTAAGAAGGATGCTCAGCCTGATACCAAATCTGAAGACGAGAGGGGCTCCAGAAGAAGCTCCAGAAGGAAAAGAAGTAGCGAGGATGTTGACGGGGATGAAGGCGAGTTGTCCAAGCAATCTGACGTTGAGCACAGCGATGCTGGTAAGGGTAACGGCAATGGCCAAGGTGCTGAAGCCGAATCCAAGCCAACCACAGGCGAGTCCCGTGTCAGCAGGCTGAAAAGAGAGTCTGCAGAGAACTCAGAGTCTAACGATTCCACTGCGTCCTCGTCAACTCAGAAGAAGAAGGCCAAGCGTACCAAGAGAAGCACTCCCTCATCAGCCGGCTCGTCAAAGTCTTCATCCACCATTGATTTCAATAAACCTACAAGACCAAGGATCCCACAGCAGAGAGCCACTTTGAACGAGATGAGAAAACGTGTTGCAGCGATACTGGAGTTCATCGGACGTACTCAGGTGGACATTGCAACGGAACAGAAGGATCAAAATGAGCTCACCAAGTTCGTGGAGGATGAAAAGATGAAGCTAACAGTGGATCAAATGTTTGAGAACTACAATGGAAGCTTAGAACTGATGGACTCTCTCACGAGAAAATTGTTATTATGGGAACAAACGTTTGGGAAATTTGGCGACCAATGATTTATCATCAAGCTAATGCTGTATTCAAGTCGTCTACAACTGTACCCTCTGATGTAGTCTTTGCTCTGCAGTTGGTTTTGGCCATCTGTCGCCAGCATCTTCGATGTCATCCATAAAGCTCTTTGAGTTGTGTATAGTGGTTCCTCCAAGCACAATGCGTATTCCCTTGTTGAGCTCGTTCAACGAGTGTACGATTCGAGCCTCTTCATACGTGGCACCACCAACAAAGAACACAACAATGTCTTGAGCCTTATCCTGGCTCGAAATAGGTAAAGAACTACCGTATGGGTTCAATATTGGGTACAGACTTTCGTTCAATTTACCCCTGGCAGCTCTGCTCAGCACGTTCTCCAGCCTTGGAACGTGTTGCATGAAGAGGTTATCAGTAGCGTGTGAGGTCTTGAACCCGGTGATCAGGTTCGAAGTTGCCTTGTCAAAGATGGACTGGCCGTCATCGAGACGTGAACGTGAGCCACTCATCTGTAGAAGCGTGTCGATGATAGCAATCTTGTAGAGTGGGATTCCCTGCTCTTTGAGCAGGTTCTTAAGACGGGTGGTTTGGTTATTGGAGTTCGACTCATAACGCAATGCGTATATGGCGACAAGACGAACTTTCGTATCGTCAGGGATAGGTTTGACTTGCTTTTGAGGATCTGTTTGTCTGTTCAGCAGCAATGTTTCCAATTCCTGGAGGTCCGAGTTATGTTGATCATGGCATGACATGTTCTGCTCCAATTCGCTGACTTCCCAGAGTCTTCCTCTGTTGATACGTCTATCCAATTCCGATGCCAATGTCATGTGCTTGGACACGTTGCCGGATAGCTTCTTGAACTCTGGGAACTCCTCGATGAACTTCTTCATGTCCTCTATGGAGTTGATGTCCTTGGAAGACTTGGTCTTTGATTTGTACTGAGACACGTAGTCTTTGATCTTATCACTCAAATCTCCAAAGTTGAGGTACATGGACTCTTGGTAGAACTTGTCCTGCCTTGAGCTGAGTACAATCTTCTTCAGGTCTTGCGAGATCCCGGGGACGTTGGCCAGATCCACAGTGTTGTTTTCGATGCCTATGAGTTCATGAACCATGGATTGGAAGGTCCAGGGCGTCAACAGTGGTGTGATTGGATCGTTCTTTCGATCCAGTATGAGCAGCAGAGGCGGGGAATCCCTCAACTTGAAGTCAAACAACGAACTGTTGGTCTTTTCAACGTTGTACAAGATCTCCTTCGCCAATTTTGAGCCCATCTTACTGTTGGCCTCGTACCTAATCACCGGCTTCAACTTCAAGGACAACAACAGTGAGAGCAACCCCTGCGTACATGTGTTGAATGACGATCCTTGCCATGTGCCCATTGAATCTCCATAGATCCTATTCTTCGGTGCCTGAAGTGCTAAGGAGTACAAGGTCTTGTCTACAGTGAGATAATCCTGGAACAGTTCCTCCACTTTCGTCACAACCTCCAGGTCATCGCTCTCCGCCAGCCTCTCCAGCTGCGACTTGCTCAGGGCATTGTTGAAGTACAACTCATAGGACGAGTACTTGGGATTGCGCAACTCCTCAAGCAGGCAGTTGATAGACTCATCGCATGGCTTAAGGTAGCAAATGCACTTGAGGTGTCTCATCTTATCCCGGTTCGCGTTGTCGATACGATTAATCAAGTAGATATCGTGCTGTAGCAGCTCAGACTGTGTACAATTCAACGACACAACACTCGTGGTGTAGGAGTCCAGCAGTAGTACCCTGATCTTTGATCCTGGCATTGCCGATGTCTCCGCCCTTGAGAACCCCTTCGGCTTCTCCTCCACGATTCTATCGATGTAGAATTCCGACACTGCCTGTAGATCCATTGCGTGGTATGACGTTGATCTCTTTGGTTGACACTCTTCAGGTTAAGGGATCCAGCTAATGGGCACGACGCCGTGTTGAAGGGATGAGAAGGGTTGGTTGTTTGTTGATGGCGGTGTTCGGTGGAGGGGGGAAGTGGCAGGTGTGGGAGGGTGTGCTTACATAATACCTTATGTAATAGAGCGGCGTGCCCTGTGCATTACGTAAGCGCTTACGTAATCAGGATCGATGAGGGGTGTGTGCTCCTATTACGTAAGTGCTTACGTAATATTCTGTCATAACGTGCGACGGGGATTCCCGCGCCTCAGGCACAGTTGGGCTCTCATCTGTTCACATCAACTAGTGAATGAGCAAGGAGAAAGCGTTGTAACAAGCCGCTGAGGACACCAGTGAATAGCACGAGAACGGAGGAGAATGCCCAAGCAACCGGAGAAGAAACTGACGAAGCAGTTCTCGGCAAAGCCTTCCCATTCGAGGTCGGCGTCGTATGGGAGGAACTTGAACCGGCTGGGACGTATAACCAGTGTTGATGATATGGCCAATGCCCGGCCAAAGCTGAACAGATCGAAGAGTACGGAGTCCAACCTGACAAGGCGTAATCGAAGCTTCACGAAGCTTGCACAGCTGCATCCGCTGACGAGGAACTCATCGCATGTGAACGTGAATAAGGCTGTCCTGGACTTACACCATGATCAGCAGGACTCGTCCGATGAGGGCGGAGAGGACGGTGAGGACGGTGAGGATGGCAACACGAAGAACGAGGATTTGGAGGAGGAGGAGGTTGACCAGTTCAGCGAGGAAGAGCCTGCAGAGCCTGAGCCGGAGCCACAGCAGGTTTTAAGCTACAAGGCGCCACCTCAGTTTAGTCATTTGAGTATACCTAGGGAATCGGTACTGGCTGGTGGTGGCGAGGAGGAGCAAGCAGTAGCAGAACAAGACAACAAAGAGAATGGAGGTCAGGACCATTCAATACGATTGCATGGCCCAAGCTATGAAAGAGCAGGGGAGTCCAACGGCACCCAGAAGACGGCCAATGGTGATGGTGCGAATGCAAAGTCATCTTCAGACAAGGACCTGGGGCTGTATTACCAAAATATGATTCTTTCACAGTCAACAGGTGTTGTCCGTGCCTTTGGTGACAAACCGTTTCAGAATTCCTTCTTGCCAGATGATATTGCAAAGGCCAACTCTCACCTTCAGTATATCCACTCAAACGATCATATAAGTGGGTCCAACTTGGACAACATCTCCAAATCCACCAACTCCTTGAGACAGTTCACGATATCGGCCTCTGTGGGGAAATTGGGCACTTCGAACGAGACCTCATCGTCCATGCTCTCTTTCAAAGCCGGTGCTGGCATGACCCCTCTGAATAACAACATGACTGCTAACAGAGACACACCATTGGGCACTCCTTCTAATTTTAACCAGTTCTTGAAAAGTTCAGGATCAAATATCGAGACCAGAACACAGCAGAAGCTTTGGCTTCAAAGGGAAAACTCTCTGCTGGACGTTTCCCAGATGAACAACTCGATAAATCAGTCGAATCCTCAGATTCGCCGTGAATTCGAACGGGTTTCCAGAGAGTTCACGAACGTTCGCAGATTCGAAAATCCTTTGAAGAAGGCAGTGAAGAGGGCCAACGTTGCTACGGCTTTGAAGTCTCCAGAGGATTGTTCGCAGAATCTAAAGGCCTTAAACACAGACGAGATCCAGGCAAAGCTATTGAAACTATGGGTCAAGGGCTCTAAGCCAAAGAGATCTCAACTTCACCAAGCACTGCAGCAGCAGCAGCAGTACAACCCAAGAAATGCAAACATGGTGCTGAACCAAAACATTGGTGGCTCCTCCACCGGGTACGTTAGCTCACCACTGAGGTCGCCAAACGTTGCTCCGCCTTCAACGAGGGCAGTGGACAGGGCACAGAATGCGGATGCGAATAGGAGGATTGATCTTGCAGCGATGAGGATGTCGGAGGAGGCACCCAAATTGGCGTGAGCTCAACGCTCTCTTCCTTTGTCTGAAGCGTAATGCTATATTGTACTAGAATAATACTTATAATTATTATGATAATTATAATTATACTCACCATAGTGCTTACATAATCATGCAACTTTATGCCGGCTAATTTCTCCGCCGTTATGCCCCGGGGCCTTGAGGACACATATAACATCGAAGGAGTTATAGATAAAACCATCCAAACCCCTTACTCTTCCTCTTGTTGTTCCCCTTCTATCACTTCTCCATTGAGAATCTGTAGGTTAAAACACAAGATGGCAAAGACTGCGCTTGTTACCGGGGCTAACGGTGGTATTGGAAGAGCCCTCACCTTCGAGCTTGTTAAGAGAGGTTACGTTGTCTATGCGACTGACATTGTCTTCAGCGATGAAACCACTGAGTTATTTGATGCCAATGACAAAGTGAAGAAGTACATCATGGATGTCACGTCCCAGGACGCTGTTGTTGAGATCCGTGAGATTGTCAAGGCGGATACTGCCGGTCAGCTGGACTTGTTGTACTGCAATGCTGGTCGTCCAGTCGTTGCGATGGCTACAGATGTCACTGATGAGGAGATCCAGTCCCTGTTTGAGTTGAACCTTTTTGCCCAGATGAGACTGGTGAGAGAGTTCGTCAAGATGATCATCCCAACAAAGGGCACCATCGTGTTCTCGGGCTCTGTGACCAGAGGTATCCCACTACATGCCAACTGTCTGTACACGTCATCGAAGGCTGCGTTGGACCAATACGCTTCGACTTTGCAATGCGAATTGCGTAACTATGGTGTTAAAGTGATCGACGTCATTGGTGGTTATATCAAAACACCTATTTTCCATGCTGGTGAGAACTATCAAATTCCACAGGATTCGATATACAACTTTGAAGAGTACAAAGTGGCATTCGATAAGAAAGCAGAGGTCCTGTTGAAGAACAGTGCTTCTTTGGGTATGCCACCAGAGGAATTTGCAAAGAGAACGTTGGATCAAGTTGAGAAGGCCAACTTGAACACTTTGAGAGTTTATGAAGGTACAAACAGTGGTAGAATGTCGTTGCTTCAAACATTCCTACCTCAAAAGGCCTTGATCAACCACATCTTGAACTTGTTCGGCTTCAACTTTGATTACAGAAAGGGTAGTAAGTACGTCAAGGAATAACGGTCTATATTCTTGTGATTTTGGTCTCTAATATACACGGCTTTATTATTTTGTGATATACAGTTTATAGATTAAACCCATATATGTCTCAATGCTTGTTACGTCTACTCTTACCTGGACGCTTAGCTGATTTCCCCTTCATCTTACGCTGAGAGAAGTCAGACATGTCAGCACTTGAGGTAGCATCATTCTTTCTCTTAAATCTTTTGATACCACCGAACCCATACTTCTTATCCTTTGCAGCTCTCTTTGAGCTCTTACCTCTGTTTTGATACTTCTGTTCCCTTTCTTTATCATCTGCAGTGGCTTCTTCAATGGCAATGTCGAATTCGTCACCCTGGATCTCATCATTCTGTCTCTTACGTTTGAGCCCTTTGATCTTCTCCAATGTTTCACGTTTCTGCTTTTGACGTTCTTGTAACGTAGCATTTTGGACTTGCTTACCATACTTCTTCAAATCTCTCTGTCTTCTGGCCTCCTGGGATGCCTTCTTTTCAGTGGCTTCTTTGATCAACTTATTCTTGAGTTTATCCATGTGCTCATCAGACTTAACCATCTCTGCGAAATAGTCCTGTGGCCTTGTGAATGGTACTTTCAACTTCAACAACTTTGCACGGCCTTCAGTGGTGGCATCGAGAGCTTGTTTGTAGAATGCCAATTCACGTTCAGTATCATCGTAGATATCCTTGATCTGTGGCTCGACCTTTTCACTTGAAGTGATTGATTGGTGCTCTACGAATGAATGCTTACTCCAAGGAAGTTCGATACGTGCGAGGGCATTCTTCAAGGCCGAGACGTTGTTGACGGTGAGCTTTGTGTGTGGAACAACGTCTGCATCAGAATCGATTTCAACATCTGAGAGAGCAACATCTTCCTCTTCCTCCTCTTCCTCCTTCTGTTCCTCAGCCTCTTCAGCCTCTTCAGCATCTTCAGCATCTTCAGCATCTTCCTCCTCGTCCTCGTCATCATCCTCATCATCAGATCTAGCAAGCTTCTCCAGGTCTAAAAGATACTCCTCCATCTCAGAATCAGTATCTTCCGCAATCTCAACATCACCTTCCTCCTCACTTTCCTCTTCCTCATCGCTCTCGCCGTCTTCCTGGAGCTTGGATTCAATGGCCTTCTTCAATTTTCTCTTCTCCTTCTTCGAAAGAGTTTGGCTCTCATAAGTTTCCTCGTCCTGCTCCTTGTCCTGTTCCTTAGCTTGCTCCTTGGCAGCCTTCTTTTCAGCCTTAGCCAACTCCTTAGCTCTCTTCGCTTCCTCTCTGGCCTCAACCTCTTCCTTCGTTACTGTCTTTGGACCATCATCCTTTGGAGCAGCTTTGGCCTTCTTCTCTTGAAGTTTCTTCTTGTACTGATCCTTGGCCTGGTTAATCTCCAATCTCTCTTTCAAATGTCCTTTACCCATTTTCCAATTCAGTGTGAGTTGTGTACTTGTCAGCTCTATCACACACCAGGCGATGAGGATTAAAATGCCCTTTAAAAAAATTTTGCCCTTTTTCATGCTTTTTCGCATGCGATGGGCTTCTCGACTTCCACGTTGGGAAAGGTTACGAGCGCCGCGTCACGTTAGTGCAAAATTACGAAATCTTTCGCCAGCCCGCATACATTTGCGAAAACCACGCCCAAAGAGGAAACGAGCTATCGTTCACCTCGTTCTCGACGTGTGTTGTTAAAATCAACATAAACGAATATTCACTTTCCCGTTTCTTCTCTCCTCTGTGTTCCCATTTGGCCAATTGAACAGCGACTGAACAATGTCAGACAAAGTAGCTAAGAGAGAGAGATTCCTGAGCGTGTTCCCTGGTCTCGTTGAGGATCTCATTGAGGTGCTCAATGGGTACGGTATGACACCTGAGGCCATCGAATGGTTCAAGAAGAACTTGGAGTACAACACGCCAGGGGGCAAGTTGAACAGAGGTATCTCTGTTGTTGACACCTATGCGATCCTCAAGGGGTTCAAGTCCACTGACGAGCTCGACAATGAAACCTACAAGAAGATTGCCCTTCTAGGTTGGTGTATTGAGTTGTTACAGGCCTACTTCCTCGTTGCCGATGATATGATGGACAAGTCTATCACAAGAAGAGGCCAGCCATGTTGGTATAGAGTGGAGGGTGTTGCTGAGATTGCAATCAACGACTCCTTCATGCTGGAGGCTGCGATCTATGTCTTGCTGAAGAAGTACTTCAAGGGAGAGCCATACTACGTGGACCTGTTGGAGTTGTTCCATGACGTGACATTCCAGACCGAGTTAGGCCAATTGCTTGACCTGATCACTGCGCCAGAGGATCACGTTGACTTGTCCAAATTCTCCCTTGATAAGCACTCTTTCATTGTGATCTTCAAGACTGCTTACTACTCTTTCTACCTGCCAGTGGCTTTGGCCATGTACGCTGCTGGCTGTGCCGATGAGAAGGACTTGAAGCAGGCACAGGACGTCTTGATCCCACTGGGAGAGTACTTCCAAATCCAGGACGACTACTTGGACTGCTTCGGTAAGCCAGAGGACATTGGTAAGATTGGTACCGATATCCAAGATAACAAGTGTAGTTGGGTCATCAACACCGCGTTGAAACTCGTCACGCCTGAACAGAGAAAGCTGCTCGACGAAAACTATGGTGTCAAGGATAACGCCAAGGAGAAGGTGTGTAAGGACCTCTTCAACGAGTTGGGAATCGACAAGTTGTACCATGAGTACGAGGAGAAGGTTGCCGGTGAGCTGAAGGAGAAGATCGCCAACGTTGACGAGAGCAGAGGTTTCAAAGGTGAAGTCTTGACCATCTTCTTGAACAAGATCTACAAGCGTTCTAAATGAGCTTCCTACATTCGTTCTTTCTCTTCTTTATAAGGATTTAATATAAAACGTACCAAAATGCTATGAGGGTGAGTTTTCTTCGAATGTGAATTCTGTTCTGTACAAGTGTCTCTCCCGATTGCTTCGTCTTTGAGAAGAAACCAACGAGCTGATATAATAGACATGCCACTCTCACATGGATACTGTATTATTTTCTGAATGTGGGAAAGGGAAACAAGCTAGATACACGTGATAAAGTATAGCAGTATAACGCTAGACAGTGCTCAAGCGTTAACAATCTCCAACTCCTCACGACCAGCCTTGGTGTACAAGTACTCGTTGTAGTCTCTGGCCCATGTCCACCAGTTCCAGATGATGAAACCTGGAAGAGCAATGAACAAAGCCTGGTTCTTGACTCTTCTGAACACGTTGAAGATGGCATTGTGAGCAGCTCCCTTAAGTGGTCTCTGAGCGTATGGAGAAACGGCGTAGGTGGTGATTCCCTTCTGTGGCTGGGAACCAAGAGATCCCCACCATCCCATGTATGTCTTTGGACTTGGAGCGTGTGCACCCATCTTTCTTCAGTTGATTATACGTTGAGTTGGTGGAAAGAGCTTGTTTGTTGATACCGGTGAAAGAGTCTTTTGCTCTTTTTTTTTGTTGGCGTGGGAGCTGAGCCGAACTGCCACGCTTGGAAAACGCTCCACGGTCATTGGTTGGTTATCTCCGGGGCCTGTTTGTGTCGGATGCACGTGATATTGTCCGGAAATGGTGTTGTCGTTGGTGGTTATGAGCGTGTGTGATTATGCTTACTAAGCACTTATATAAGCATCCACAATCGAGCTAATCGATACTTTGCTGATGATTACAGCCAAAACAGTCCATCAACACTGCTTGAAAGCAACGAAAGTAAACAAACAACCACAGCGGCTATCGAACCCAAAACAGCGGGTACCTCTGACCGATATTAATTTGCTGTACATGGACTTGTCGCAACAGACCATGTCACAGCGGCAAGGCTCGCCCAAGCAGTCGCTCCTCAGCGCAAAGCTGAGAGAGGCACACAGGAACGATGGTAACCATGACATGGCGCTGGGGCTCCTGAACGAGGTTGATGGCGAACAGTCTTCGAAGACGCTGACGCCGTCGATGTCTGAGAATAAGCAGCAACGAGCTGGCGCGACGGGGGCTCTCACGATGTCTAAGGATTACGGTGTATTGGCCACCACTCCGTCAGGGAAGCTACAGAGGATTTACTCTGAGAACGAGACGAAGAACTTCAACAGTGTTGATGGAAGGAGAATGTTTGATGATGACAGGTATAGACCGCACAGGACGAGGCGGAACGGCGAAAGGAAGGATGATGAGATAAGCTCACCATCAGCATCAGTCGGCCGGTTTAAAACGAGAATGCACAGTGGAGTCGGGGGATCACAGTCTCCAGGGACGAGAAGCTTTAGCCATCAAGTACTGAGAAGTGATGACACTGACAGTGCTTCAACCGCTGCTTTCAAGGGAATGGAGGACGAGTACATCCCGGATTTCGACTTTGGCGCAGCTGTGAGATTCTGGAACAAAGAGCAGAGCGACACGTCTTTGAATAGCTCCTTCACGCCTGCTAGTGCAACGCCGGGAGGTTCTATGGGGGAATTGCACACACAGGTTAAACCAGTCTCTGTGCCTCATATGGACCACCATCCAAAGTCCGAACAGGATGAAGAGGACTTTATTGCATCGAAATTGCCGAGAAACTTTAGCGATTTGCCCTTTTCAATGAGAAGGAAGATCATCACTGAACTATCACACTCTCCTCTGATAAATAGAGAGGCCATTGAAAAGGTGGTGAAGAAGCGTTTCAAGAAGAATAAGAATGAAAGCTCTCCGGCCTTACAATTCCTATCAAGCTTTAGCGACAGGCCAAAGGTCAACTTTGAAGAGCCCGTATTAAACCATAGACTAGGTCGTATAATCGGTAGTGGGGCGTGGGGAATAATAAGAGAATGTCGTGACGTTAAGGATGATACTGAAAGGGCAATGAAGATCATACGAGCAAAAAGAGAGGACGTTAAAGATGTATTCAGAAGGGAAACACAAATGTGGTCCAAACTACACCACCAATTCTTGTTACCTTTGTTAAATGTTAAGGAGACTGACGATACTTTTTTCTGTCTAACCAAAAAGGCATGCGGTGGGACATTGTTTGATCTTGTGTCTAAATGGGGACTCTATACAACTCAATCAGATGAAGATCTATCGAGAAGAATTAAAATCACAAGGAAGTTTGGGTTGGAGATCATCGAAGCATTATCATACATGCATAAGATGGGAATCGTTCATGGTGATGTGAAGTTGGAGAATTGTCTACTCGACTGTTATGGAGAAGACGCCAAGATAATGGTTTGTGATTTTGGAATGAGTACACAATTCAAACCACCCGATGTCTCTGAAGATATAACGATCCAAAATAACAAGAGAATTAAGAGACGTCCTTCCATTCCAAGGTCCTACTCAGGAGCAAAGCTCCGTCGTCTACACTCACTGGAGAGAATAGCGACGGATAAGAACCGAACACATGATGACACAGCACTACAGATCGACATGACTTATTCCCATGCTTCGTCAGAATCAGATATGTTATCGTTTGATCCTTCACCCATAACGATTAAATCGCCGGAGGTGAATCCAAATCTGCCAGACTCACACATCGGCTCACTTCCATATGCTGCGCCAGAACTATTAGAGAGCTGTCCACCACCATTAGGACCGTCTGCAGATATATGGGCATTCGGTGTATTGTTATACACAATGTTTGTTGGTAAACTACCCTTCCAACATCAATACGAACCAAGATTGAGAGCAATGATCAGTGCTGGCAGGTATGATTTCGAAAGCCTAGTGTGCGCAACTAAATCAAATGAAATGCTCATTGATACCGTGAGTGGCTGTATGAAGAGGGATTTAACCGAGAGATTGACACTTGACAAGGCAAAGGAATTACTCGAAAGAGCAAAGGTTTGAATTGAAGACCCCCCACCAAAGATGACTAATGATTGTATTATTCAATCTCTGCCTGAAGGTATTCTGTGTGAGACTATAACTCTAATGAATGTTTGTTTAGTTTATGAATTGATGACATTGCATTATAATTTCAGTTGGTCTGTAAGATGCTGTATAATCTGTTGAGGATGTCCTTCTGATGTAGTTGTAGCACCGCGATAGTTTTCATAGTGTATAAGTCACGTTTATCTTATCGAAATTAGGGATTGGGTCTTTTGTAGTGAAAATCACGTGTGAGAGAACCTTGCAACGGCTTTTTGCATCTGTTATTGCGTTCTTGACCAACCAAGGAGTTTGGTTACCAGCATTAAGAATTTGAAGACATTAACGTTTTAGTATGCACGGAAATGCAGGCACTAAAGTAAATTTTGTATCATGATATGCACAATGGCGCAACATATACATATAATGTACTGACATGCGTCATCAGGCACCGCCTGGGACTTAGACAAGAATTCACAGTTCTGGGTGAAACATGTGCGGACGAACCTGCAGTAGAGGATAAAAATACCCATAACATACAGGGAAGAAGGTGCCTATTTTGAATCACCAGATAGAACTCATCATTAGAAGAGCTGGTATTGCCCAAGAAAGTTATAGCTGGAAATCGCTATTTCGTAACATCCCTAGCAGCACTTTTCTTTTTGTTGAAAGTTATTGTATTAGCACATTGTATCATTCATCCATAGCATTGGTAAAAGTGGATTTAAGAGGTGGTGTTGATCTTCTTTCTGTTGTTTCCATTATTTCTGCTCTATCTTCCCTTTTCTGAGATCTGGTTATTATTCCTTTTATCCTTACTCTTTGTTGTCACGTATTTATGCGCTATGCTAATCATATTCTGAGTCTCTTCTCTATTGTTCCCACTTTAAAGATATATTTGTTCTAGATCAATAAACAAGCTCCTTGGACAGGTTATTGATGGCAGGCAATCCTTCATTATTCATGGCGGTGAAGCATTGATCTAATGCTGTGTCAGATAGCAAGTGCTCACAGAATTCATAGTAATTCTACAAATATAGTAATCACAATCACATATTTGATTAAATTTTCTAATATACTTGCGAAACCTACCAGGATACCCTTTACTGAAAGTAGTATTGAATGGGTGATTTTGCCTATTAGTGCTTCTGTGGATTTTTTGTGCCTTGAGACATGTTGTTTTAACCATGGAAAGTGGATTCAACCAACTCGGGCTTGTTTAATGGATCTACGCTGAGTTTAAACAACTGATAAAAATAAGTAAATATAATAAATCTTCCTCACTATCACTAGTGAAATTGTGACTTACATACGATTCACATATAATTAACTTGACGGCCAAAAAGTGCTTTGATAATTTCATCAACGATATCTCGATTGAAGGGGAAAGTTGATGTCTCGTACTCACGGAGCCTCCTCTTCTTAATCTTACGTGGATTGTGTGGAGTTGAGATATCGAAAATCACTGGACTCCAGATTGTTACTCTCCCAATTTCTTGCAACGTCACCTCTCTTGTAGAGAGCCTATTGATACGTTTGTTGAAGTAGCTTCTTCCCTTTCGGTAACTGCGCATATAGATAAGAACATGTCCAATGATTGATAAGTAGACAATCACCAAACCCTTCAAACCATCCTGTTGGTCCCGATTACACAGAGAAAGCTTTTCAAAGCTTAGATCAATGTTCCATTTCTTCTGGAAGCGTTCTATTCCCTTACGGCCTCCATAAGCTGCTGCGATACAAAGCAAAAAGAATTCATCGTTTATATCGTTCTCATGAATGATAGCATTTATAATTGCAGTCCTTCTGTATATGGTGCAATTCTTTCCAGTGATCACGCTCTCTAACATTTCACATGATAAGTTTGGAAACATCACACCAAGAACTCTATCAGCTTTAGCATCTGCGTCCAATGAATCCATATTGCTGAACAAGTGCTTAATGCATTTGGTCAGATGATCGTTCGAATCACTTTTGTTTAAGCGATCGTGAATCATGGCTCGCTTTCTTCTTAGTTCAACACTGTCTTCGCTTTCAATAGGCTCTGAAATGGTCACAGCTGAAAGCTTTCTTGAAATCTCTTCATCAAGATCAACTGTTTCCTTTTTATCACTACTATCAATTGAAGAGACAGTTTCAGCTTCTGAAGATGGCACTTCACATGGTTGTACATCTACATATTGACAATCAATGAGCGTATATTCCAAATTTTCAGGATGCTGAGATGGATGAGAGATATCTGAAGTGCTCATTGTGTCTTGATCAGGCCCTGGTGCTGTACCTGTCATTTTCCTGGTTCTTAATAGATCAATAGAGATTACAATAGTTGAGGTATATTGCTTCGATTTATATACCCTTTGGTGAATAAACTGTGGGTGTTCTTGCGCTGTACAAGGGCTAAAAGTCACAAGGGAATCAATTCGTCAAGCACTGGAAATCAACACAGGTTATTACTGAGTGGACAAATGCTTAAGCGACTGGCCATACACGTGCTGGTTGCGACGGGCAAATGTAATCCAAACCACATAAACAGTTCTGGGCAAGACCCCCACGGAAATCTCGTGATACAGAGTCAATTAATTGAGTAGTATTATGAATCTACTATACAGTGTCAATTGTACATTCAGCAATCGATGACTTGTTCAAGATGTAACAATTTCAATGAGTTTACCAGCACAAGACGAGCTCAACAATTGATCGAGATAAGTCATTTTAAACCATACTGCAAACTCTCTACGGATGCCTTCTAAGCTCCAGGTTAGGGTGTATCACTCTCTCAAGAAAGGCCACAGACAAACGAGGTGTCCAACTCCTTGAAGAACTCCTTGTTCCAGAGAAACTTATATGCTGTACTCACTCCCTGAGTCTTCAGTATAACTCATACGAACAAGGGAGCCTTTCTCGCCTGGAAAACTGAGCTACAACCCTACAACCCTATCAGATATACAATGCCAAGTACGTAGTTCTGCTGTGATCGTGGTGTCCAAAAAAGGAACAACAACAGTATCTATACATCAAATTACCCATCTATTTACATTTCTTCCATACTTATGAACTCTCTTCTATATATCATATGATGGCTGAACAGTCATCTGGACAGCCTCTGTAGTAGATTTTATATCACTGGATGTGACGTTTTCCCTGTTAGAAACATTTGGTTCATTCAGCTTTTGGTAACCTTCACTGGTCATCGTCTGCATTGGTAGAGAGTCAGATCTTTCCGAGACTCCTTTATCCACAAGAGGACCGTGGAAGTTATGACGACCCCATACAAACCACAGGATTGTAATTATCAGTACGAATAATAGAAACACCAGCGATGCGTAGTTCATAGAACTTGCTGTGACAGGCAATTGGGGTGGTAAACTGAGAACAAAGATGGTAAATGCCAACCATAGAGTGCTAATGATGTTGATGATAAAGCCAACATATTTCAATTTGAAGGCTGCACCACGTACTTTCTTCCGTGCACCCAATAACAGCGATACTATAGGAATGAGAGATGCTGCACATAATGAGATCACCGCAGCACCAACAAATGCGTTGAAAGCAGTGGAACTCACAAGAGCCAGAAGACCCAGCAGATAACTTATGGCCATTGAAAGCATAACAGAGTTCTTTGGAACCTTTGATTCAGAATCGGCATGAACATGGGTCCATATGTCTGCAAATGGCAAGGCACCGTCTCTACTCATCGAGAAAACTGCTCTTGAGCTCGTAGCTATGGAGCCAATTCCCGAGAAGAGCAAGTTGCCAATGATGAGGATCACGAGGAAGAAGGAGACAATCACAGATCTTGTTGCCAGCTTGAAGATCAGAACAATGGGTACAATTCCATGGGTCTTTTCTCCAATAAGTAGATTAACATCAGGCAACACTGCCAGAATTGGAATGAGGAAGATGAATCCAGCACCACCAGCAAGCAACACAGAGAGCACGATTCCCCTTGAGACTGTTCGCTCAGCGTCTTGAACTTCATCTGATACTGAAGGTAGAAGGCCAAAGCCTTGAAGCATGAAATTGGCCTGCTGAAATCCAATTATGAATGCCATTCCGGATGGCCAGCCAGAAAACGAGTTGTCAAAATGAGTAAAGACGTACTTCAATGAATGATGATTTCTGGAGAAGATCAGCAGAAGGATATCTATGAATAGGATGGAATAGACGATCCAATATACGCACAGTTTGTTGATGAACTCCAAGTACTTGCTAAACTTTAGGTTTATCACACCGCACACGGTGACAACGAGGTAGAACATTATCACTGTGAGTACCGAGTCAATCTCATACTTGGAGTCAACGATTCCAACGGTGCTCAGGATGATCTGCGCACCTGCAAAGGTGATACTCGTACTCGTCAACCAATTACCAATGAGTAGGAAGAACCCTGTGAACCACGAGCAGATCAGGCTATAATCAGGATGTGCAATCAGTGCAGCACCACTGTGTAGTTCTGTAGGGTATTTTGACGTGATCTCTGCCAGAGACAGCGCACAGAAGAATGAGCATACGTATACAATCGTGTAGCCACCCATTATTGTCAGTGGTCCACCGTCTATGAGCGACGAGCCCATCGTTACTCCCAGCGATAGTGGAGGACTCATGAGCCCAAACCCAAGACCGAGCATCGACATGATCGTGAGATGCTTATCAAATTCCTGTTCATAGTTGAACTTCTCCACCTCCACTGCGTCGTCCTATAGCATCATACATGGTTAGTCCCTGCGGTCTTGTCGGTGATTTTCGATGAAATAGATAACTTTATGTCTTCTTGTAGGACAAGAGAACGAGAAAGCACGCTGAAACACTCACTGCCCGGTCATTCTCGAGGGCCTCGTGGATCGTGTTGAGTATTCTGCTCCGATACGTCAACTCTTCATCCACCATCTCACTACTGAACGTCCTCAAAGCCGTGGAGATGTGTCTTTGTATGGGATGATGCCTCTCGAGATGAGAAAAGAAATGTGGGTGGGCGCAGTGGGCGAGTTTTATTTACCCGTGTGGGACGTGGCAGAATAGATATCACGTGTTGCGTTGTGTTATGTGCACGTGACTAAAACACCCAGACACCACCGTTCTCTCAGCCGCCGCAGTCTTTTTTTCCTCTTCACTTTCCTGCTTTTTGTGTCTCGAGAAAGTAAACAATCAACAAAGATAAACATAGCTTTATCACACAGTTCTCATACTTCGGGTCCAGAGCTATGGCTAAAGATACCGAATACGATGAGTTTGGCAACTTGATTGGTGATCCATTAGATTCAGACGCGGAGAGCTCGGGCTCGGAGTTCGAGTTTGAAGGCGAAGGCGAAGGTGAAGCTCAAGATGAGCCGATGACCGGTAACGAGCTTGTTGTGCTACAAGAGGATAAGCAGTTGTATCCCTCGATGGCCCAGACCTTTGGTGACCAGGTGGAAACGGTGATTCAACTGGCCGATGCGCAAAGTATCAACGAGCCTCTCGTTAAACCGCAAACTGCGAAGGTTGATAGAGTTGAGGAGAAGAGCTTGCCAAAGACGAGCTATTCGAAAGAGTACATGGCAAGTTTACTGGGTGTTCCTTCCAGGGTGCGTAATGTCTCCATAGTTGGTGGGCTGAACTCGGGAAAGACGTCGTTGCTGGACATGTTCATATTGCAGACACACCAGCTCAAAATATCGAAGAAATCACAAAGTTTCAAGAAGCTGCGATACACAGACAACACCAAGTTGGAGATTGAAAGAGGTGTCACTATCAAGTCGTCGCCTATGACGTTGCTGCTACCTAATTTAAGGGGTAACTCATTCGTTATTAACTTTATCGACACTCCAGGGCATGTGGATTTCGCCGATGAGATGAGCATTTCACAGAGGTTGACCGAGATCTCACTAGTGGTTGTTGACGTTGTCGAGGGCATCACGATAACAACACAACGTGCGATTGACAACTCCCTGCTTCATAACATTCAAATGGTGTTTGTTATCAACAAGCTTGACAGACTAATCTTGGAGTTGAAACTACCCCCATTGGATGCATTTCATAAGATCCGAAATGTCATTGACCAATTGAACACATATATACACGGGAGCCCGTTGTATGATAACTACAAACATAAACTCACGGTTTCACCGGATTCCAATAATGTGGTTTTTGCATCTTCAGACTTGAACTTCTGCTTCAACTTGAGATCATTTGCACAGCTTTATTCAAACAGACTTGGTGTTCATATAGATTTGGATTCATTTGCGAAGAGGCTATGGGGAGATGTTTACTATAACAAGGATACAAACAGATTCACAAATAACGGAGAGACAAGATCCTTTATCTATTTTATTCTGGAACCTATATATAAGATCGTGACTCAAATTCTTACAAGACCCCCAGAAGAGTTACCGAATATCATGCATAAGGCCTTTAAGATTTCTATATCAAAGGAGCTGTCGAAAGCAGATCCACAGGTTTTGTTAAAAGAAACGTTCAAGTTAATATTTGGCGATTCTTCTTGTCTTGTTGATGTTCTCGAAACACAGTCGCCCCCTAATGAGCATTTAAAGACAGGACTATTCACAGGTTCTGATGAATTGAAGCAGGAAATATCGTCCGGCTCTTCTGATGGCGAATTAGTTGCGCATATATCCAAGATGGTTGAGAATAATCTGGCCTTGGTGAGAGTTTTCTCTGGGACCCTTCGTATAGGTGATAAGATAAAGATTCTGGGAGAGAGTTTCAACGAGGATGACGAAGATGCTGAAACTATTGTCGTTAAGCAACTCTACCTACCTGGGGGGAGATACAAGATACCACTGAAAGCTGCACCTGCAGGGTCCATAGTACTTCTTGGTGGAGTCTCAATCATATCAAAGAGTGGTACAATCTTTTCAGATTCTGCGTCTCAACCATTGGCCATATTTAAACCTGTGGATTACTTGAACCAGAGTGTTTTCAAGCTGTTCATTGAACCTCATGTACCAACAGAACTTCCAAAACTGTTGGATGGCTTGAGAAAGATAAACAAGTCGTACTGTGGTGCTGAGATCAAAGTTGAAGAGAGTGGGGAGCATGTTATCTTTGGTTCTGGTGAATTATATATGGACTCTCTGATGTTCGATTTGAGAAACATTGCCGATATAAATATCAAAGTTTCAGATCCAATAACGAAATTTGCTGAAACAGTTGTGGATCAAAGTTTTACAAAGGTTCCAATTAAATCCCAAAATGGGGCCAACACTATCACCATAATCTGTGAACCATTGGAAACAGAACTGGCATGTGATTTGGATGCTGGTAAATTATCGATTGATTCTCAATTGAAAAAATCACTGAGAACTAGATACGGTTGGGATTCTTTAGCTGCAAGATCTCTATGGAGCTTTGGCCCAGATGAACTTGGTCCAAATGCCTTGCTTGATGACACACTACCTGATGAAGTGGACAAGGATCTGCTCAGCAACATGAAGGATGCCATTGTACAGGGTTTCCAATGGGCATTGAGAGAAGGCCCATTAGCTGATGAACCTGTGCGTAATTGTAAATTTAAGATCATTGAAGCGTCTTTCGCTTCAGATCCAAGTTTACGTAAAAACGGACAAATCATTCCAATGGTTCGCAGAGCTGTATATTCAGCCATCCTGACATCTACGCCTAAGTTGATGGAGCCCTTCTACTCTTTTGAGATCCTTGCGACTGAGCGTTCCATCAGAATCCTTGAACAAATTGTCGATAGAAGAAGAGGTGCAGTGTTGAAAGACTCGCCAATTGGAGGCACTCAGCTGTACAAGATCACAGGGTTTGTCCCTGTGATCGATTCCATCGGACTGGAGACTGATATCAGGGTAGCCACCCAAGGTGAGGCTATGGTATCCCTGTATTTTGACAAATGGCAAGTTGTTCCCGGTGATCCTTTGGATAAAGACATATTCATTCCAAAGCTGAAACCTGCTGCTCCACACGCATTAGCTCGTGACTTCGTCGTCAAGACGAGAAAGAGAAAGGGTTTAACAGGGGAACCGAGCTTGGCAAAGTACATCGACAAGGACTTGGTTGACCAACTCAAAGACCTTGGACTGTTAGGTTCATAAGTAACGTAATACCTGTAATAGAAGCAGAGAAGAAGAAGGTGATGATGATAGAAAACCGCAACGGCCGAGAGTTGAACGCGGACTTAAGACCGGATTTGCGCCCCGGTAATATTACGTAATCATCCGGGGCATCGTGATACACCTTCCTAATTCGGACAAGATAAAGCATGTGAGAGAAGAGGTGCTTTAATCCCCAGAAGAACAATTTCCACTTCTCTTGCGTTCAATCTCATCTCTTTCTGGTGCTCGAGGCCTCTGAGATCAACAGTAATTTGCTCAATCACCGAGACGTGGAGTGTGTGTGTGTGTTTGATTGTGTGTGTGCGGGTGTTTTCCATAGACCAAAGCTCATCAAGAGGCTGTTCATAATGTCAAAGAAGGATATTGAAGGGACCAATAAGAAGAGGACGCGATCCAGATTTGGGTGTCACAGGTGTAAGAGGTTGAAAGTGAAGTGTGATGAGATGAGGCCTTCATGCTCTGCGTGTGTCAAAAGCGGTAAGGAGTGTGACTACTCTATAAAATTGACATGGGGAGGACGGCCCTTTAAGAAGCCGAAGACGAATAACCTTGCCAATGGCACTATTGATTCGTTTCAACAGATCTACAATAAGGATAAAGCTGCTCCGGCCCAGCTGAAGGAGAAGAGTGCGAGTCAGGAAATGATGATGACTGTACTTCAGTTCAATCCTGCACATATGAGTAAAGTGGACTCCACTGGCAGCCTGATGAGTACGGAGTCGATGTCGTCAGTGGGCACTTTTGAGACTAAGCAACCAGGCATTGACGATCTCGAGCCCTTAGAGAAGGATCGTGTTGAATCATCATCTCCAGGCAATGGGCGATACGTGTCTCTCGACGATGATCATCGAAGAGACGACTTCATGGTGGCGTTCAAAGATATGCAGACACCAAACGAATTGGCTAAGCAGTTCTTGAACGATTCCTTATTACCCGAGCTCAACGAGTTCAACCACCTGATATTCCACGAGGATACAGATTCATCCCCGGAGAACCTCACAATAATGGAAACATCGCATATCTTTTCAGGTGAAGCGTCCCATCAACTGCCAATGTTGACGAAGCCGAAGTTCACAGGGTTTGAAATCATCCCAGAGGTCATCAGCCCATTGCCCGATATACTACTGCACAATGACCTCTACAAAGAGCATTATCACAAGTATGTTGAGATATACTCAAAGCTTCTGTGCCCTGCAGCTCCGAGAACGTATACCGATAACCCATTCACATGCCTACTACCTCGCTTATCTCTGAGTTCTGGGTCCGATGGCTTGCTAGCAATGCTCATAAGCTTCAGTCTTGCACAGGATGCAACCCACAAGGGAGATCCGTATCCTATGGATACCGTTGGACTGCTGCTGAACAGAGCACTGGATGACTTGTACAGACGTCTAACTGATCCACAGGAGGCAAACTCGGATTATACATTGTGTTTAATCCTTGTATTGTCGTGCTTTGAAATCATATGTGACAGAAACCCCCATGGATGGAGAGCCCACTACTATGGTGCAAGAAAGATCATCTTCTCTCGAGGATTACTCAGGGCTACAACGTCCATGATGTCAGAGAGAAAGCGTGTGGCCTACGTAAAAGGGTCGGAAGCAGACCTTGAGTTCTTCTTCCAACGGTGGTTTGCATATCTGGACGTTATCGGCTCGTTATCATCAGCGTCTTCAGCGTACTCTTCAAATAGACCTACAAACATTATATGGGAGTGTCCTGTGCCTACACGGGAAGATAGGGAGAAATTGACCGATATTGACCCATTCACAGGCTTTGACATGCGTCTATTGGAGTATTTCTCATACGTTGTTAACCTCGTCCATCAACGCGAGACATCTGGTACTGTTGATGGTGAAACTCTACCGTTAGACCTGATTCAGAAGGCACTCGAGGTGAAAGAGAGACTGTTGAACTACCTCAAGGAGACCGAGGCTGATCGTGATGCAATCGAAAGAACCTTACAAGAGGATGCATATAACGTCTTGAACGAACAACTCGAAGACTATAGGCTATTACGTGCTACTAACAGGGTCTTCGCACTGTCATGTGTTCTCCAGATCTATCGTCGTGTGTTGCTGATGCCTCGTGATACAACTTTGGTTCAGAACCTCGTAAGCGAAATCATTGCTTCGATAAGAAACCAGATTCCACAGCAGCAGCCAGCAGCCTGTTGCACGTTCTTTTCTCTATTCAGTTCTGGCTGTGAGGCATTGGCTGATGAAGATCGGTTGTTCTACTTAGCACGTATCGATGCACTCATTAACGTTGGCATAAGAAATGCAATGGTTGCCAAAGACGTCATGCTAGAATCTTGGGAAACTGGAAAGTACTGGGCTGACATCCTCAGTGAACGAGGAATGGATATTATCTTTGTCTAAAGGAAAGGGTTTATGGCGAAGAGCAAAATGTACGTTTATTGTTCTTCAAGAAACATATGCTGTAGTAACTTTTTTGCAGATGGTCTCTCCTTTGGATTCCACACGAGAATCGTTTGTATGAAGTCAGCAAACTGCAAATCACCAAGATTCAGTCTCTTGTGGAATGGTGTAACACACTTTGATGTATCCAAGGGTTCACCTCTGTAGACCCCCACCTTGCTGAAGCTCGTGAAAAGTAATGTAGATTTATCGACAAAGTTCCCGTCATTGTACTTATTAACACTGCCGTTCTTGAGCACTGTTTCACGCATCGATAGTACTGTTCTTGGAGGTGGATTTCCCAACAGCTCCACAAATAATTTGTATAAATGGGTTTCATTCTTGGCTTCAAACATCACCTTGCCAGTGTACATTTCATAGATAACGGTTGCGAATGACCAGATATCAATCTTTGTATCATATCTTGCTCCCAATAGCACTTCTGGAGCACGATAGAACCTTGACTGGATGTAAGGATATGTGATGTCACCAACGGTTGTTGAGGAACCAAAATCGATAATCTTCAAGTTGAATGAATTTGGTGATTGAAGCATGATATTCTCAGGCTTAAGGTCAGCATGAACAATATCTGATCTGTGTAAGAATTCCAATGCTGAGAGTAATTGTTGAGACCATAGTTTGATCACAGAAAGTTCGAAGCCTTGATACTTTGTTGCACCCAATGCTTCGATCAAGTTCACAGATAAGAGCTCAGTGCTGACACAGATATGAGATCTGAAGTTCAAGTGTCCTAGATACTGTAGTAGATGTTTCGGCTCTTGGTGTAAGCGTTTCAATATCTTTATTTCGTACATTGACTGCAATGACCAAGCAGGATCGTTTCTCATTATCTTCAACGACACCATCTTATTCATCTTATGGTCATAACATCGGTAAACATTACCAAAGGCCCCTGTACCAAGCTTTGAAAGTACCTGATATCTATAAGCTATGTGATCATTTTTAGAGATAATCAAGTTTTTATCCTTGTTGTCAAATCCAAAGTTGGAGTTGACATTGGAAGAGGAATACTCTCTGCCAATGTTACCGACGTAATAAATCATTTCCTGTTTACCAACCTCTGCCATTTCGAATGCATTTAGATTCTTATACCTGTTTAATACCTGTTGTGATTCTTGTGGTTCAGATACTTCAACAAGTGGAGTCTCATTCCATTGCTCAACGAATTTGGAAGTCTTGTGGTATGATTTTAACAGAGAGTATAGTTCGTCAGTCGTTGTACACCTTATGGCTGCTCTCTTTGAGCTTGATATCTTTCTCGTATGATGGTTATTTGTTGCTGTTGACATTCTGAACCCAGATACTTTCCTTATGACTGGATCTCTAGACGATTTCCTTTGAGATATCGATGAGTTTGTTAAATCCTTTAAGCTGGAGTGCAGACTTATCGATTTTGGTATTATCGATCTTTTCTTGTCCACAGCGATCTTGTCACCATCGTGCTTTGTTGATGATACTCTCAGATTCATCGTTGAAGTATCACTTTTAAGCTGGCTGGCTCTTGTCGGCCTTGTAAGATCGGGTCTTTCAGAGACAACTCTTTGCGATCTCCTATCATTCAAATGATGAAGCTGCGGCTTTGGAGAATGTATTTCAGAGACAACACGTGGCTTGTTATTGATCTTCAGGTTGAAAGCTGTTGTAGATCTCGTTAATCTCGAGAACACTGGTTCATCTGCCTGACCCTTTGAAGGTGATTTTGAAGGTGTATTGTTATTTGAGCTAATTCTCTGGGAGACTTTTCTCGGTGATTTGCCTCTCTGATTTGTTTGTAAAGTTCGTCTCTTGACCACTTCCAAAGGCTTACTTGTCAGCATTGGTGTTTCTTTGGGCTGCGGTGATGAACATTTGGGCGTCGGTTTCACAGGGCTCCTTATGGCTAAATCTGCAAAGCTGTTTGACAATTTGGTCATTGTTGACGGTGGCGTTGCATTGTTGCTCTGTATCTGTCTCTGTGGTGTAGATTCCCCATCTGATGGTGATGCGTGGGACGTTATCGATGCCCTAACACTGGGTGAGCCCAGTGTCCTTGGAGAAGGCACGTTCGAATGTCCTTGGTGCAGCAATGATCTTCGACTAGATATTGAGACCGGAATCTTATGCTTTGTAGCACTATTCGACGGATCACTCGGCGAGCCATGGTCCAAAGGCGACGGCGTGCACCTCCCAGCATAGCTCTTCATTATGGGAATCTTTGAAGAGCCATCAGTAACCAGTGCATATTTCCTCTGGATTGAGGATGACAGCTGGCTATTATCAAACTCCATGGGAATGTCTCCCTGTTACTCAGTCAGTTGGCTGGCACGACGCGTTAAGGGTTTCAGTAGCTGGCTGATACTTCTTCACTTAGTCCAAGCACAACGATATATGTCACGGAGTAACAACAGCTTCCCACTCTTGATCCGTGTATAACTGTAGTGATAACGGAGAAATGAGCCAAAGACCACGCAGTTCTCCTTCCAGTGTCGCACGCTATGTGTGTTATCAAGTCAAAGGCCAAAGGAAACGGTGAACACAACCACACAAAGGGCAAAGTAGTGGTGGAATGTGTAATGGTTTCTCGATTTGTTGACACTTTCGATGGCTTGTTGTGTCCCCAACCATGTCCGGTTTGTTGTCAGGGAAACGCACTTCTGTGAAAGCCGGGTAACAGCTCCTGTGTGTCCCGTGCCACAAAAATAACGGGGAGAGGCTTATGCCGTCGGCTAATTGGCAGATATTCCAACGGTGTTGATGGAAGAGTTGTTAATGTCATTAGGTGCTCCAGAACATTGGAAACGAAAAAGAGAATGGCGCTTAAGGTTGTACAGCTGGACGATCTCAACACACGTGATAGACTCCTGCTTGTTCAGCTGATTGAGCAGTATGGGTTTGACGATATAGAGCTACTGCACTCCCGCTATACCAATCACCCTGCTTTCCAGCTATCGCATAACAAACTCCAAGGAACCGATGGGCAAATCACTCGTCAACATCTACAAGCGTTGATAGATGGATTGCTTGCTGAGTATCCTGACAAGAATATCATCCAGCTGTGTGAGCAGTTCTACGCTCAAAGGATTGAGGAGCTGAGCCAAGAGCTCTCCCGGAACAAAGAGTTGTTTACAGCGACGAAGATGGCATTGTAAACAAGGACGGCAGCCTAAGATCGATATGCCATAGGCTGAGAGATATGACATAGGCTGAGATATCTGCCCAGGGCAACGACGATGGAGACCATCGACACTGAAGGACATGACTCCTACCTTAGCGCACTTTGGTGTGCGTGAAGGATGTGTGATTGCTGGTGGTTCTGAGCCTATCATGAGATGCTGACTGGGGTTTCAATCAGCACACCATTTGAACTCTCTGAATTTGATTAAAGGTCTTGTGCAGGCAGTCTGTCTTAATTACTGTGACTATATGTCATTGTATACGATGTGCTACACGCATTGCTGGTGTACTACTGTTGTGATTGGAACTGTCCAGAACTAGGGACGAACGAGAAAACAGTATCAGGCTCAACAGTTCGTGAACATTATGTCACCTCTGACTGTTATTGGCTGTGCATCTACTGTTATAAGCTTGTACCTGTATGGATTACACCTCTTTGCAAGATTTGGTATGATAAGGACATGAAATAACCTGTACGATTGGAACTTTGCTGATATACGCTTCCAAATTAGGGATTTCAGCTATTCCATCCCAAGCTCCAAGCCTCACAGGGAGATGTAGGCAGGAGGTGAAGTGGTAGGAACTCCAGTCTTATTGAAAAGATTCATTAAGCTCATGTTCAAAAAGTGATGGATATACATCTATCTCTTCTAGAAGCAGGGAAGAAGTATTGAGCCTGTTAGCGAGCTCTCCTATCTCTGCAGTCTCTACTACACCTGTCCTTGGAGGTGCGTGTAATACTGAAAAGGACACTGCTGAGTTTAAACTCACTATTACTGGCAACATTGGTCCATGAGATTCTATGGAAATAAACATCACCAGAGACTATGTGTCTGATATTTTTGAGTTTACTGATGATCTGGTCGATGAAAAACTTACTACATAGTACTGTTGTTACCACAGGATTGATTGAGATGGTGGTTTCTGGGACAATTTATGAGGATAACGTTGTTATTGTTGACTTTATTGCAGATCTGCTTAGTGGTTATCAATGGATTGCGTTGGTAACCGTGATCGTTAACGCTCTGTCTATGATTATTAAGAAGAGAGATACGGAAGAATGTAACTTAAAGTGGAGACTAATATCAGTGAAGATGGGATTCAACGCCCGTTGGATGAGTTCGCTTAATCTTCTGTTCTGTCATTTGAGTCGAGCAGTGAGTTATCAAGTGACGATTTTTCTGAAGTCTGTAATAATACGTCTATTGTTTCATATGATTCATCGACTTTGTCGATACATTCATTTCCTGTTTCCAAGGAGTTCAATTTAAGCTCCGTCATTTCTGGTATCACACTAACGACTACAACACTGACAATAACTCGTACAGCTGCTATTTTAACTATTATCATTGTTACCAGCTGTAACGATGTTTGTGATGAGTTTGAACAAACCACTGGTGCGGCTATTGTTATTGAAGTTGTTTCCGGTGCCGTTACATCCTAAACAACTTATCGTTAAGAGTCGTATATTATCACAAGTATAGTAACCAATGTCATTGTTGTTACTACCACTGGCGATGCTGAGAAAATAACATCTAGACCGTATTCTCCCTATTGCGAAAGTGAGGAAGATATCGCTGGTTATGTTGGTCCCATTGTAGAGACCCTAAGTTCAATAATCAGTGGTGGTATCTCAGCTGGCGTACTGCTGGTATTTCAAAGGGAAATATAGATATGATGTCCCTGGAAACGATTTGTAAACCACACATGGTGAAGTTATCAAAACCACTACACTTATTACAGTTATTGCTAGCTTTATTGATGTCGTTGATTCCTCTGTGGCTATTGCTACTCAAGTACTGTATCCACAAGGCCAGGCACGTCATCGACTCTGACGACTATAGAAGATGTCACAGTAGTCTTATGATGGTAAATTCGAATAAGAATTCGGTACGCCATATTGAGTCTGGTCATTTCAATTTGAACCTCTCAATGGGGAATCACTAATCCCACTATTCACACTTTTCCAGTGTTGCACAATAGTTACAAAACAATTAAAGCAGTGTATATACAAATGGTTTTTGCTTTTACTTCAATATACGGACGTTTAATCACTGTGTCTATCTAAAACGTTCCAACTATTGACCACATTTATTGCTTGCGCAAACAGCCCTGCATCGCGCATATAACGTCTATCCCTGCTCAGACATATTCACTCACCCAAAACACATCAAAGGTCTCTGAGAGACAATATTGCTTATGCAACTGGAGTATATGTTTCAGTTCAATGACTTGTGGAGCACAACCCGTACACCAATACATCCATACACCGCCTTATTGATTTGTGTCACAAAAATGCTCCGCGGTCGATCCACTTCAAGTTTCCCCGCAAAGCATTTCTCGTTTTTATGTTTACAGCGGTTAATTTGTTTATAAAAAGGGCAACGGCATGCACTTTCTTCTTTTCCTTTCCATCACAACATTGCTGAAGCACAACAAATAGTTAGAATTATACGATGAATGCTCAAAGGATAAAGCGCTTCGCTCCACCTTTGCTACAGTGGTACACACGTCATAAAGGACTTATCCTTAAGACCTCTTATCTTATTTTGCTCTTTATGAGCTTCAATACATCACAGCCAACAAAGAGGAAACAGATTGCCGCCGAAGAAGGTCAACAAGAGGTGGAGAATGACAAGGTTTCCAGCGGGAAGAAGAGGTCAAAACGGGTTAGAGTGGATCGAAACACGGTTATACGTATGTTTAAGGCAATCATACCTTCCTGGAAGTCGAGGGTGCCCTTATACTTTGTCATTCAGCTCTGTCTCTTGGTCACAAGGGCGCTTTTAACGTTGAGAGTTGCCGCTTTGGATGGTTGGCTAGTTAGTGCTATGATCCGTAAGAAAACAGCCACGTTTATGAAGTTGTTATTACAGTGGATGCTGATTGGTATTCCAGCTACTGTGACGAACGCCCTGTTGGACTTTGTTACCAACCAACTATCCTTGAACATCAACAAGAACTTGACTGCAAGCTTGATGGATTATTACTTGCCTACAAAGGATGTCAACGACGATTCAAAACAAAAAAAGAATCCAAACTATTACAGTTTGATTCATATGCCTTCAGAACACAAGGTTGAAGATCCAAATCAGAGAATTACTACAGATGTGACAAACCTATCGTCATCATTGGCATCTTTACCAAACCATATCTTGAAACCTTCCTTGGATTTGATCTTGTGTTCTTTTGAATTGGCAAAGACTGGGTCTGCTGAGGGTACGTTACTCCTTGGTATAATTGCGCATACAACCTCGTTATTCTTGAAATTTATGTCTCCAAATTTTACAAAGATTGCCATTGAAAGGTCTCGTCTGGAAGGCTTATTGAGAACATTGCATTCAAGAGTTGTCCTCTTCAGTGAAGAAGTTGCATTCCTAAGGGGCCATCCAAGAGAGTTAGATATATTGGACAAGTCTTATTACGAATTGGAAAAGTTTACAAGTTATGAATTACGTGCTAGGGCAATATACGACACCGCTACAGATTTCATCGTGAAGTATACATGGGGTGCTGCTGGTTTGGTGTTGTGCTCGATCCCAATATTTGTTAACAAGTTTAACAACATTGTTGATGAAGCAAGTTCTGCGACCTTCATCACAAATCGTCGTTTGTTACTCTCCGCATCGTCATCATTGGGAATGTTGATCCACTCACGTAAGGATATTCAACAAGTCATTGGTTATGTGGATAGAATCACTGAGTTTAAAACGGCATTAGTTGAGGCAGATACCACTGTTTCTCCAAATTCCTTAGCAAGAGGAGTGATAAAATACGATGACAATGTAATTGAATTCAATGAGGTTCCATTGATTACACCGGCAAACATTGTCCTTGCACCTTCTCTCAGTCTGAGAATTGAACATGGTGATCATTTGTTAATTGCTGGTCCAAATGGATGTGGTAAGTCTTCACTTTTCCGTATCCTTGGTGGGTTATGGCCCGTTATTAGTGGTGAATTGACATTACCACATTTTGAGAATGTGTTTTATTTACCACAGCGTGCATATCTTTCAAAATCATCCTTAAAGGATGTCATCATTTACCCATCGACAGAGTACAAGTATAAATCAAACAAGGAACTCGTTCAAATCTTGGAGATCCTTGAGCTGAAATTTTTATTGCACGAGAATATCGCATTGGAATTGGCTAAGGATGATACTCTAGAGGTTTCGCAAGTTGACCCTTTTGAGACAGTACGTAATTGGCCTGAGGAACTTTCTGTTGGTGTTCAGCAACGTCTTGCCATGGCACGCCTCTACTATCATAAACCAAAGTTTGCCGTTTTGGATGAGTGCACATCGGCTGTGTCTCCCCAGATGGAGCAGTTGATGTATTCACATGCACAATCCTTGGGGATTTCTTTACTCTCTGTCGCACATCGTTCCTCCTTGTGGCATTTCCATAACTACATCTTGAAATTCCGCGGAGATGGTACCTATGCCTTCACCAGATTAGATGCCGAAAAGAGATTACAGTGGGAGACTGAGTTGATGTCTTTGAACAAGACTTTAAGAGACGTTCCTATCTTGGAGGCGAAATTGAAGGACTTACGTATTGCACAAGAGAGTCAAGAGTTTAAGCGTACTCAATCACAAATGAGTATGGGTAAGTTACGAACTATTGGCACCACTGCATGAGGCAGTCTACAACGATGCATCCGGCGCATGACTTTATGCAGGGGTAGGTACGAATTTTACAATACGATGAGTGATCTCACGAATTGAAAGTGGACGTTAAAAAGGGAGGAGGGTTCTTTCTATATATTTTTCTTTTTTTTCCTTTTGTCGAGTAGACAATGTCTTCCCGTTGATTCGAATCATGATGAAACAACTAGTGAATATTTCTGTTTTCCTTTAGTGTACCCTTTTGCACTGAACAGTTTCACTGTTGATGATTTGGATACTGTACATTTTTCTTTCACTCTCCATCTTCTCTTTCGAAAATAACCATCATACACGGATGTAGCGTTATGGAATATCAGTTACAATCGGTTACAATAGTATTGAGAAAAGGAAGAACGCGGGAGTTTTTAGTTAACTGGTAATCACAATCCTTGGTTGAAGATTTGGCCAAAGTTTTGAGATCCACCTGCTTGTTGATATTCAGTTGCAATCAACTCCAAGAAACTGAAGGCAATGGCAACAGCAATGGCCACAGCAGCACCTTTACCACGTCCACCGAACCATTCACCAACGATTGTCAAGATAGATAGACAAGTTGCACCAGAGACAGCAGCAATTGGAATAACTCTTGATAGCTCTTTTGAGACTGAGATGTCTCTACGGCCTGCGAGAGATATGCCTTGTTCTTTAAAAGTTGCAGCTATATCTCTTGGAGAAGAGCCGGAGATCATACACCAAGTGTTTGCAAAGGTTGCTGAAGTGATGATGACAATCGCTGAGAAAACAATGTTCTTAAGAGGGTGTGTTAATGCCTGATAGAGACTTGTGGAAGGAGACAGGAAGTACATCACTGAAGGAGATTCCACGGTGAATTGGTTTGTGAAAGGGGATGAGGAGTAATAGCCCAAGATTTTGACAACAATGTGTGAAGGGTTGTTTCTGAAACCCAAGTTGACAATGGTGTAACCGATCAAGTTTAGATAAAACAGGACAACGTATGAATACACCAATGGCATGGCTCCGGTGTACAAGAGTCTGATTGGATAAACGTTACTTGCGCCTCTGACTCTGTTTGATCTGATTGGCAGATCAATTCTGAAGTTTTGCAAAAACACTGCAATGAGCAAGGTGATGATAACGATATAAGCCTGGGTCAAGTTTGGCAAGTTTTTTCTAGTGAAGGAATCCCAAATCGCCCTTGTCCAAGATTTGTTACGGATATTGGAGACCAAGTTGATGATTGCACCTTGAGATTGATATCCTGAGCCTGTTTGTACCGTGTTGAATCCCAAGATGTCAGCGATGAAGTTTGTTGCGGTGTTTACAGCGATAAAGGACATTGCACCTGAGCCAAAGCCGTAACCTTTATCCAGAACTTCTGCAATTAATGTGACAAAGGTTCCAGCACCGACGATTTGCACGTTGATCAGGATCACTTGTGTTATTGACAGGGAGTAACCGAAATATCCAGTGGCCAACATTATATTAGTCAATAAGAAGTATTGGAATATGGCAAAGAGCTTCTGAGCCGATTGGAACAGTGTTCTCTCATTGACAGAGTTCAAGTTGACCTTGATCAGCTTGACACCGGCCAACAGCTGGAACAGCAGTCCTGATGATATGATTGGGAATACACCAAACTCCAAGAGTGTGCCTCTCTCTGCGGCAAATACTGGACGCAAGTATGCAAATGGATCATTGGTTATGCCTTGGCCTCCGCACACAGGAAGCTGTAAGAATAGGTAGATGAATGCAGAACCAATGGTATACACCACTTTATCGTCAAAGGATATCTAACATGTGCTCGTTAGTATACGTCCATAGTTGAACTGTGCCACACATCTGTGGACAACCGCAGTTTGCTCCCGACGTGTGTGTGTGTGTGTGTACTCACAGCTTCCGGAGAGATCTCAATCTCTGGCAGAAGAGGGATGAAAGGCTTCGCAATGTCAATTAGACGGACTGCTTGGGTTAGTATTCTCACTTCTTGTCATACATATCACTTCCAGCTCTACTCACAGCCACTCATTTGTCTTTTGAAGGAAAACACTCAATTGATAACTTATCAAAAGCTCAACTCTGAATTGAGAGAAGAGAAATTTCAACAGGGGAATTTGTTTCGTGTCGGCGACGACGACGACGGCGTCGGGTTTTTTCACTTTGCTCCCTCGTTTATCATTTTCCTCTTTGGGAATTTTTCGCGCAAGCCGTTGATTATGTCATCCGCGCTGGTGGTATTACGTAATATTGTCCATCGGGTCCATCACAACCACTGCAAGTCAATTAATACCCACACTTTCTCATGTCATCTCATCATCCTTTCCGCCCATCGAGCGTTGTAATCCTACGAGCACTGCACCATGGAAGAGAGGCCTGATTCGCACATTGACTACACAGACGCTATTGATTACTGGACGTCGGTTCCAGCCACTGTTGACGGTGTTCTTGGTGGGTACGGTGAGCAGACGTCTGTGCCAAAGGCAGATGTGGTTGGGTCTCTAACCCTCGTACGCAAGCTGAGGACCCGGATGGTGCCACCTGAGGGCTACACGAAGTACTCTGTCGACATAGGTGCCGGTATTGGGCGTGTGACTCGTGATTTCCTCCATAAGGTTAGTGACAAAATCGACCTCGTTGAACCCGTCAAGCCATTTGTTCAGCAGATGCAGACTGAGCTGAAACCTCTGATTGAGCAAGGTAAGATTGGTACGATATACGATGTTGGAATGCAGGATTGGGAGCCTGAGCGTGGTAAATACTGGTTAGTCTGGTGCCAGTGGTGTGTGGGACACCTGCCAGACGACGAATTCGTCAAGTTCCTCATAAGGTGTAAAGAGTCGCTGCAGCCAAACGGAACCATAGTCGTCAAGGAGAACAACTCACTTGGTGAGGACGTGTTTGATGAGACTGACAGTTCTGTGACGAGATCAAACGAGTCGTTCCAGAAGTTGTTCAAAATGGCGGGCTTAAAGTTGATCGCTGTGGAACTACAAAAGGGTCTACCAAAGGAGCTGTTTAAAGTGAGAATGTATGCATTAAAGGGTGAATAGTCAATTCTTCAAATCAAACGTTAGTATACTTTTCAATACGAGTGGTTGTAGAGAAGAGATCGCTGAGTGGATTCAATCAGATAGGAGCGAAAGACTAGATGGCTAGTTGTGTCTTCATTAAAAGAATCAGTTGAACTATGCATAAAACTGTTTGAATCATCACATTGAATCCAGTTCACAATCTCAATTGGCTCGATCACTTACCACCATTCTTCCACAGTGAGACTCCACAGTGAGACTCCACAGTGAGACTCCACAGTGAGACTCCACACGGATACACCAAACAGCAAAGAGATGGAGAAAGAGTTGGAGAAAGAGAAGATGTGAAAATTTTTTTGAACAGTCGCTATGCCAATGGTACGCGCAGCATATGCTGTTTTATAGGGCTAACTCACTCTCCATGAGTTCTACAAAACTATCAAGAACACCGACTTGGCCTGATCTGATCAGTAAGCACCCTCCAGTCAGCCCATTGGGCTGGACTGGACACCTGGACAAAGTCGCTCCATCCTCGAAATCACCCAATTAAGCACACAATTCCACCATACATTTAGAAACAACTAGCCTGCCACCGTGCGCTGCACACACATCCTCGGTGTTTAGAAACCAGAACAGTCTGATCAATTGATCCTGGAGCCAGAAGCTTACTGATCAACCGCAATCAGAATGCTGCCATTAGGTCCATGATGGAAGATTCCTCCGAATCCACGTCGCTTAGCTATCCAAACATGGGCACTGCTCGGAGTAAATGATCTGCACTGGA